ACATGGAATTAAGAAAAGAGAGTGAGTTAGAATCCTCCTGAGGTAAAATTAGAAAATTGTAGATAAATACGCGACAACGCGAAATTTTGTTTCTAATCTAATTTTATCTCAGGAGGATTTTAACTCACTCTCTTTTCTTAATTCCATGTTCTACAATTTTTATTTTATAATACTTTTTGATAAATCTAATAATTTTAGTGTTGTTTTAAGTTTTTTGGTGAAAATTATTTGTTTCATTTTTTGCGATTTTCTTCAAAACGAAGCAAAAACGAGCAAATCTCTAAAGGACCTTTTGTCTTAGTTTATCGGTCCCCTACACGCTCCTAAAGTTTTGACATTAAAATTGGGGACACCCTGTATATTGAATTTTTACAAAATATATTATATAAATTATTGTCTCTAATTTTTCGACAATATTTAGACGTATAGCGTTGCATTTTTTAGCTCAATATCGGAAATATCGGAAAGTGTAAGCATTGTTTCCTCATACATTTACATTCATTTTTCCTTCGTGGGTCGATCTCAAGTAATGCTCCGTTGGTTCATGAGATATGAAACCGAAACGAGAAACTCCGCCTCGTCGTCTGATTATCCTCGCGGAATATAAGGCGGGTATGAAAACTCGCCTCGTTACGGAACACCACTCTTCATCGCGGCGAGGATAAATAAAACCGCATCTCGTATCGACTTTCGACATGTTCCACCGACGCCCCGATCGAAAGAGGCTTCTTTTCCTCTTCTTCTCCCGAGAAAACTGGTCAGAGGGATTGTTCGATCTCAATCGCGCACGTTGAAAAGCTCACGCGGTTTTATTGTCGGATACAACCGATATATAAAAACTTTTCCGTAATTGATTTTGTTGCCGAGAAAAGTAGCTAATATTTTTACAGAAAACTCGATGCAATTCTCATTTTTTGATAATTACATTTATTATTTATTACGTATTATTTGTTATAAAATATATATATAAAATCTTTTATTATTTTTTACATACATTTACGTATTAACAAATTAATAATGATGCTATTAATTAACAAAACATTAATGCATTATGTAAATAATTTAATATATCTGAATACGAGCGTAAAAAAAATAAGTTTAAAACATTTATCTGTTTGATCGTGAAATAGATTGACCACGTTTTTCCATTATCGGATAAATCGAGATAAGCGCGTTATCGCGTACTTACAAGCTTGCCGGTGGGTTAAAGAATACTGCTGAACGTATTTCGAAATAAAGTTTTGTGGGAACAAATCAAAGCTCTTCTCGATCGGCTTGAGTGGCTCCGGAATGCACGGTCGATCTGCAATTACGCGCTCATATTGATATTTTTTTTTTTTTTTTTTTTTTTTTTTTTTTTTTTCCTATACAGCTGGACTCCGTTTCATAAAACTGCTTATCGATAATACGAAACATATGTATTAATAATGTCCTAATTAATAATCTTAGAAGACGTCTTCTAGGAATTAGATTGACACCATTTATTTTTGTAGGCATTTCGTATTAAAAATAAAAGTTACGTTTTTATCAAAATTTTTCATTACTTCTAACATTATATTTAGGAAAAAATTATTGAATGTTGCTATTTTTAGAAGTAATAATAAATGTTTTAGAGTGAATCTTTAACATTCGAATTATAAATTATAGATTCTTGTAAAATTAGAAATTGATAAATATAATTTATATAACAGTAAAATGTGTGTATATATAATTAAAGTTTAAAAATTGAATATTATAATTTCTTTTTGGATTATTGATTTCATTGATCTGATTTAATAAAAATAAATAAGGAAAAGTAATATTTCTTATGCTCTATTAAAAAATATTATATGTATAGATAAATATATGTGCTACTAAAATAACGATACATTTCCTATCCGAGTAGTATCGCGAAATTTGCAGTCTTATGAAAAATTGAGATTCACCAGTAACTCTTATATTCTACAATATTAATCCTTAAACCGAAATATCTCTGAGACCCAGTAATAATTAATAAATTTTTTAATATGTATGCATATGTCATTTGCATACGCTATTATGTATACATTATGAATCAATTAGTAAATTCATTATCATATGTATTTCAAAGAACGCCAGCAAAATATTCCGACTAGTCTCAGAGAAATCACACACACAGTTTCCTTTAACTCGTTCGCTATCAAGATTATCGTGAAAAATCTCCGACGCTGACAGATGATACTACGCGCTTACGCGTTATCACACGTGTACACGTGACATAATCATACGAGAGCGAACCTGTTGACTATCTGTCCAATCTTTCGGTTTAAGGGTTAATAAATCCTCTTCCGAGAATAGTCCCCGTGGTGATCCACCGCCGGAGAAACGAGAAAGAGAGAGAGAAGCCGCGGAGTAGTAGCCCGTGTACGAAGGTAGCGGAGTGACAGCAAGTGACAGAATGTCAACGACGGAGAACCAGAACGGCACCGCGGGCGGCGCGCAGAGCAACGGCATCAAGACGCCCTCGTCGTCGTCGACGACGTCGTCCACGGCGTCGTCGGGCATCTCGCCGTCCGGCGGTCGCGGCCTGCCGAACAACAGCAACTCGTCCTTCCTCTACAGCAGCAGCACGATGCTGAGTCGCGAGAAGGCGCGGCAAGTGCCGCCGCCGACCCTACCCAAGTATACCTCGAGCTTTAACGCCGGCTCGAACGGCGGCGGCGTCGGCACGGCTGCCGAGCGGCTCAGCAGGGACCGCGAGGCCGGCGGCAGCTATAGACTCGCCAGCCTGGACAGGCTCGCCCTGCGACAGAGGATACTGGACGGGGAGAAGGCGAACGGCGAGCCCATCTCGGTAAGCGCGACGTGAAATGTGCATACGGATTGCCTGCCAAATCGACAGCATTGATCACGCAGTTCGAAGCTTGATTCAGTTCCGATCAAAGTTCTTCGGAGAATTCTCTTTTCGAAGAGTTTAGGAATTCTTCTCAGGTTTGGCAGACGGCAAAAGTCCAATGGGTGGAGGAAAAACCATAAATTTCGGTTTTTACTGTCCCGAACTTTATCCACTGGGGAATAAACTGGCAAAAACTGTAAAAATGAGTAATATATGTGAGATGAAAAGATATTTATATAACTTTATACAAAAAAAGTATATTTTTGTTTTAATTAATAAATATATACCGATCAATATATATAATTTAAAAAAGAATGAAACTAATATAAAAATAAAGTGTTTTTTCATTCAAATTAATTTGTGAAGAGAAATATTTTTAAAACAAAGACTTTGGAGATATAAATATCATTAAATTTTATATTAATTTTTAGTTTAATGACAAAAACATAATAGAGTAAGGGAATAAAAAATTTCTATCAATATACATCTAGTTCGCGCGTTTACCCCATTCAACATCTTGTAACGAAAAATTAATTTATTTCCTACATCCATTCTTATAATCTGTTAAAACTTAAATTGGAAAACATTCTTTCAATCGACGCTGAATTCGTCGTGGACAGTTATGTAAATGCACGACAAAATTAACGAAATCTGCAGAGAAATTATCATTTTTATATAACGCTTTTAATCACATTCTGACATTCATAGTTTTTCTAGGTTTTCTATTCGTTTATCGTTTTTAATAAAAAAGATCGGGGTTTTTTTTTCTTCTTTTTCTTCCGGAAAATACCTGTTTTTATCACTGAATTTTATCAAAACAAATGTGAAATTTCGTCAAATTTGATTCTTCTAGAATATTGATATAAAGAGCCTGACGTACAATTTGTACGCGTAAAAATGATATTATTTTGTGATGTCTTTCTTTTTTTTTCTCTCGATGAATTGCATGTATCTGTAATATCATTACGCTAGACGATTAGACCTATGACATTGCAAAATCGTATGCATATATTGTCACAAGTAATCACAGCTTAAACTTAATTTTGTAAGATTTATAAGTTTTATATTTGATAAATATTGATTATATAAAGTTCTGCCACGCAAGAGTTAATTCTTAGTCTACTGCACGTCATCGAAACGTGTTAGAAAAAACATCTATCTTTTTCTGCAATTTTTTATACATATAGGTCTATTTTGCTTTTCTATTGCATTGTATGAAAATGGCAAAGCCTCTGAAAAATATGTGGATTGTTTTATTTAAAAACGTTATTATGATAATTCTTATTTTTATGACTCGCGGAAAATCATTTTCATATAAATCCATTATCACTCACGATTCAATTTTATTCTTGAAAACGAAATTGCCAAAGTAGATATATATTTACCGAATGATTTCTCTAGTTTGATATGTCTATTAACAACTTTCGATACTTCAACTTTAGTGATAAAATTCTATAGAGGATATCCAAAGAAATTTCGATCAATTCTATCAATCTATCAAAAACATTATTTGTCAAAGTATTATTATCGAATACAATTTGTATACACTGTTACATCATCACGACATTCTCTTGAATAAAGTGGCAGGCAGATGAACGTTGAAATTCTACGAATTATATTGTAATTTTTCCATCAAGTAAAAATGCACTGCACAAATATTCATCGCGTAAATTATGAGGTGATATCGATTTGAGAATCACTGTCAAGCAACACATGGCGAAGGAAGCAGAAACAGACCTCCCTCGCCGATGCCTCTTGGGCCTGAGGGGTGCGCTAAGTCGAGGGTCTCACCCTCGTGTGTGCGCCAATCGAAAAATACTCGTAATTCGTGAGTCATACAAAGACGAAAGAGACGAAAGATACACTGTTAGCGTAGCGGCTTATACCGCGTTGCTGACTCACCGTGTATACGCTTCGTATTTAAATCGTGAGAACGAGTTTTTCGTCGCTCTTGTGCGTCTTATTACGCTACGCTTATCACGCCGGCGTTTATCGAGAGAATCTTATGAAACATGTTTGAAGGCTTTTACAAACATATCGAATTATGAAGAGAAGTAAAATACACATTGAAATGTCATCTTGAAATAAAATTGACGTCCTATTATATGTATATATTTGGATCTTTATTTTTTTTATATTTAATTGGTAGAACTTTTTTTGAAACTTAATTTCTTTAATAATTTAAGGAAAAATTTCTGATAAATTAAACTTTATGGAAGAAAATAGGTAATTTTATTAAAATCTTAATCTGAATCTCACAGTTGCAATAATATATACAATTTAAATTGAATTGGTCGAAATTAAAGATTGAAGGCTTGCAATAAATGATAATTTTGTTGGAATATTTTCGACTGGTACTAGTGAGAATTGTCAATCATGAAAACGATTGCAATTTATGAAAAAAAATGCAGGGGTAAGCGAGACGAGGGGGAAAGTAACGAGGTGCGAGAGCAAACATAAGATGATAAAAGTGTCATTGAAGCATCTCGACTCCCGAAGAAGAGAAGGGTATCGACGAATTCTCTCACGAGGACTAATCACTCTGACACATTTTTACGGAGAAACAACGCGATACATATATACACACACACACACACACACATCTAATAACAACTTCTCCAAGACGAATGAGAGATAAAGAGATACATTCACTCGCAGGGAAAAGTCTCGAACAATCGCGCCATTCAGGCCTGCCGATATCCGGACGATTTATAAATCCCTCTCTATCTATGACACAATCCGACTTGGTTCACCGCAGCAGAACGAGATTTTTTAAAATTATTATTTGATATCGAATGCATTTCTCACGTCATGTGCTTTATATTATTTTACGCCGCGATTTTTCTTTTTACATGTATACAAAATTTAAATATATAATTGTATAATTTATCAGATGATTTATAATGTGTTTATCTTATACAATATTCTCTCTCTCTCTCTTTCTCTCTCAAATTATAAGTCTAATATAAAGACTTGGAATGGCCGGGTCATATTAAAACGCATTATCCCAGATATGTCTATTATTTCAAAAGATGTAAATTATTTGCATTAAAATAATATATGATTAAAAAAAATTTTATGTTTTAACCCTCTTGTCAATACCCGAATACCCATTTTCGTGTTCCCACTAAATTTTTTTTAATTTCTCGGCAAAATACGCCTTAGCCCGGCCAGATCCTCATTATTTGGATCATTTTACATCGATTTACGCTTTGAGCCATATTTTTTTAAAAATTATTCTTGTTATCGGGGGTCAAAGTTGACAACACGCTTGTTCAATACCCAGGGTACCCAGGCTTATACACGAGCATCCCACACGAATTTTCTTTCCGCTTTTGCTATTCGCGTCATCGAAGCACTTCGTGAATGTAGGAAATAATAGAAATTTTAATAATGAACAATAATTAAATGCATAAACAATTAAAAAATCAAAAATTTCCAAGTTCTTATTGAGTACATTTAATACAGTGCGTTATCGTTACCGTGTGTTCGTTACATACGGGTTTTTTACATTCTTCACACGCTTTTCGTGTTTTTCGACGCTTTTTGAACGCGCCTTTACTGCAAATATGGCACGAGCCCACGACAATTTTTCGCCCTGTCGAATCGAATCTTTGCCCGGACGATATTGACGGAGTACTGGTATCATCGTTTGCTGGTCTACCGAATATGCTTTCAATAGCATTCTTCGTCGAGAAATTTCTCATTATTTGAGGATTTTTCGATTGATCTTCGATTGAAGGCATGCATAATTCTTCACTGAGTTGGCGCAAGAAACACCGGCGTTCGATGTTATAAAAAAAGGCAAGAGGCCATCTATTCGTTTGTCTCTTCGTCGTGTATCTTCCGAGCATTTGGTCGATTGTGTCGACGCCGATTTTCGTTTTATTGTAGTACTGAATTATTTCCGGCTTCTTTTTTTGAGTCGCGCTTACGTTCGTGTCTGCATACATTGTGGATAAACCAAAAAGAGATGAATACACCTCACGAGTTTTCGAAGCTGCCATTTCGATCGGAATATATTTTTTGTTCTTTTTCAACGTTCCAACGATTGTCAAGTTCCATGACATCAAAAATTTTGCCAAAGGTAGCGACGTAAAAAAATTATCCATCGTGATATTCCTACCCGAGCCTTTATACGGAAGAGTTAACTCTTTCATGACTCGCTCACCTTGATTCACTTCGCGACCCTCCGCAGTTTTTCCCGTATAAATTTGTCCCTGGAGTGGATACGAATTTTCGGCATCGCGTATCCAGCATACTTTTATCCCGTATTTCGCCGGTTTTTGATGGAATATATTGCGTGAATCTTGTTCGACCGCGATACGGAAAAAGTTGCTCATCGATTGTTAGGCACTCTGTTCACACAGAAAAATACATACTGTATACAAGTAAATATTACTTGTTTCAAGTATTTCATAAGTTCATATATCCGCAAATCTATCATAAGTTCATCATAAGCATCAAATTTATTTAAAATATATTTTAAATCCTAATAAATTTAATATTTTAATCAAGAATATTAAATCATATAATTGAAAGAAATACATTTAAGTAAAGTAAACTGAGTAATCATTTTACTTAGCAATAGAATAATATTTTTCTGTGTGTTGGCTTATACATTTTTGCTAAATTGGAATTGAGCATCGTCCAAATGTCACGTATCGGAGCAGCTTTATCCTTTCTAATGCGAGTTCCTCGAGTATTTGCATCATCGAAACGGATGAATCGTAGAACTTACAGAGCAACAAATTTTTTTCTTTGGCAACTTTTTAGCAACAAATGAGCAACAAATAAAAATATTAATTAGAATTGATTCTGCTCATTCTGTTCCGCTAACTTATAAGACGTCCCATCGTCGTTCGGTACAGAGGGTAAGAAGAGGACCGCCACATGTCGGTTGTTTGGTCGTAGTTTGAATTATTTACTCCGGAGCTGATCAAAATCCCCAAAAATCC